GACTGTTGCAATATACGTTTGATGACTGTGTCTTGAAGACTGTTGCAATATACGTTTGAAGACTGTGCTCAGAAGTGTGCCATTTACTTTATTTAAAGAAAGAAAGTTAAAGAACCTGGCCACCGCAACGTTGGAGGGCGAAGTTTGTGACGGAGAATTCAACTCGGGCAACCACAAGCCAGTCTGCCTGCCCTGCGGCCACTCATTTTGCTTCCACTGCATTTCATATTTAAAAAGAGCTTCCGGAAATAAAATTTACCCCAAAAGCAAGAAAGGAACTTCTTGGCCTATGGACCAAATGTCAATTAATTATGCATTAATTCCATGAGAAAATGATACAGTTCAACGCATCAGGTCACCACCGTCAAAGATATTGTGCCCTCATAGTATCATAATATTTATTATCAACATATAATAATTCAATTAATAATAGGAGTTAATTATCATAATTCTTCTACTGTTGTATCGGTCGGGTGTTAAGACGTTGAGTCAAGACTCAAGACCCGAGTTTGTCCCAAGTATTGCCATCCTAATAAGTAATTCAGAGACGAAAAGCAAATTATTATTACTCCTTAAAAAAAAAGAAAATCTTTACTCATTAAAAAATCATAATTCATAAAAAACATTATTACTCATTAATTGAACTTCCGTTTCTAAAGAAGGCATCGAAAAAAACTTTGTTCATATAGCTTGAGCAGCGGTTTCTTATCACCGAATACTTTCATTTTTTTATTAAAATCTGATCTACTTTTCATTGCCAGAGAAATTTTCATTGTGTTGTTGTCTTTTTAATAGAACTATGAAAAATTAAATAAAGAATTTTGTTATGTTGTGTCAAATTCAGGTTATTTTAGCGATCCGAAACTCTATATTCCCTATTTAAAATCTTCATTATTGGTAATTTATGTATTTTAAATTCATATTTAACATATTCATATTAACATATTCATATTCATATTAACATCTTCATTCATATTCATATTTAACATATTCACAGTCAGCGAGGTAAATTGCCATTTTCTACAAGCCTCATTTCACAAGGCACCATTTATCAGTTATTGGGCGCTGACGCTTACAAGCTGAAAAATAAGAGTTCACATATATAAATTACTGGGTCATATTGTCCATAAGTGACACACTTTCTGCTGGTAGCACTGATACATCCTTTTGCAGGGAAAACTGAGTCAAGAAGGCCTACACAAGGCAAGAAGTGCATCACTATTTGGACAAAATCTGTCCATTTCTCTGAGTGTTCCCGATAAGGTCCTCAAGATAACGTCACCTCACAAGTAACATCAGATACTTGCATGTCAGACGCAAGGCAGACATGCAGGGAAGTAAATTCATTCTCAATATAAAAATTGTAAGTAAACTTCTTGTTTAAATCCACAAAAAGGGCACTAATAGCAGGCAATGTAAATTGCTTATGAAGATACACTGTTAGAAAAAACGGTGAAAAAACGGTCCCACTGGCGTTCTATAGTGGCCGGTCGCCCCGTGAAAATAAACTGTTTCGCCGTTTTTATCAGATGTGTTATGGATTTCTAGTGTTTAATTAGAATAGAAACGGCGACACGGTGTTTCTTTTCACGTGCCGACCGGCCACTGAAACGCCGGTATAATACCGTTAACGGTAATTTTTCTAACAGTGTATTTTCGCATCGTTTATACCTCACACCGTTTTGGAATTAAAAATTCAAACACGAAATTCTCCAGCTAATTTTTCAAGGAAATGCACGGAGAAGAATCAGCGCTCGCAGCGCCAGCGTGAATATGAGACTTCAGTGACATTCATGACTAAAATATTTATTTCCTGTCTACACGAATACTGGAACTCTGGGGGAAAACCTCTCTTCTTTAACTACAGGGTCATCAATATTAGCGTTACATTTTTTTCAAAATCAATTGTTGATAATTGTATTCGATATTTGTCATTTGTTTACACCTTCTCATTAATTTTTATCATTATTTATCAATTATCATCTCTATGGTGTCAAAAAACACCAACTGTCTGCTCATGTTGTTGACAAACGCCTCCAAAGATCCAAGATTCTTCTTTCCCGCATTCATGATGGCACGCTGCCAATCTCGTTTTCAGTGGTGAGAAGATATTCAATGTTGAACACCACTTCAACTCCCAAAATTATCGAATTTGGTCCTAGAATGGGGACGAAGGATCCCGTGTGGTGGCTAGGAAGCGATGCCCGACCTCAGTGATGGTCTGGGCAGCCGTAACAGAGCCCTCAAGGAGTCCCCTCTTTTTTGTTGACAAAGGGGTGAAATTGAATCAGAAGAACTATCGAGATGCCATCCTTGTTGGTGCATTGTTGCCCTGGGCACGAAAGCACTTCAAAAAAACGTCCCTGGTCGTTCCAGCAGGACTCTGCACCATCCCATGGGGCCAAATCGATTCAGGAGTGGCTGTCCGACAATGTTCCCCACTTCATTACCAAAGATGAATGGCCCCCATCGTAACCCGATCTGAATCCTCTGGATTTTGGGATCTGGCCATACCTTGAGAGCAAAGTCTCGACCGTTCACCATCACAGTTTGGACGCCCTAAAGGTCAAACTGCTGAAGGAGTGGGCCAAAATCCCGCAGAGTGTCATTCGTGACTCGTGTAAGGCTTTCTCTAAGCGCTGTCTCTTATACACATCTAGATGTGTATAAGAGACAGGCCAGCAACTTTGTTTATGTCCCGCCTCTACCACCAACTCTGTTTACGTCCCGCCTCTACCAGCAACTCTGTTTACGTCCCGNCGGGAGCCGAATACGTAGATAATTCTTGGATACTCCTCTCTAGATCCGGCGTTTCAAACTCAATGCTCATCAGCTCCCGATCCCCTGGAAGTTCTTGAATGACTCCAATTTCGTTCTCCTGCCTTGAGTATCGGGGTTCGCTGAATACTTTTTCAAATTGAGCTCCCAGAAGTTCGCACATGCCCTTGTCGTCTCCAACAAGGACACATTATTTTTCAGAGGCCCCACTGAGGCTCTGATTTTGGCCTTTGACCGGGCATATTTGTAGAAATATTTGGGATTCTCTCGAATGGCAGACACCGCTTGCGCCTCTGCAATTTGTTGCTCGGCCTCGTGTGAGCCCTGCAACTGTCGTTCAGTTTCCTTAATTTTAACCTTTAGATGTTCCAGCCTCTGCCTCTCTGTATTCCCGGAGGCAGCCGTTATCTGGTTGTTCAAGCTCGCTCGTTTTCTCATAAGGATCCGTCTGTCCCTCGGAATTATGTGGCGTTTGGGGGTCGTTTTTTCCGGCGTGTGACGCTCGCATACCTGCAGTAATACTTCGCATAGTTTGTTGTACATTGTTACGGCGTTTAATTCCAGGAACTCAGATCTCAGTCAATTTCGAGGAGTTCGTTCCCAATGGCCTCCCAGTCTGTTCTTCGATGATGAAAATTTAGCCCAGCTAGCCCCTCTCGAGGTGTAGGTCTTGGCTGGGTTCCCCTCTCAATTGTTGTCTTGACCACCACGAGTCGATGGTCAGACAGTGTGGTCTCCTCAACACGAATATCAGCAACCAGTTCTTCATTGCTGGTAAAGAATAGATCCAGTATATTATGTTCTCTTGTTGGCACCAGAACCTGTTGGCTTAGCAAGTGCTCCCTAGCGAATCGAAGCAAATGTGTTGCCTGGTTTCTGGTTTGATTTCTGCGCCGTTCTGCACAGTCCAAGTTTGGCCATCGTATGTGTGGTAGGTTAAAATCTCCCGCGACCACAATATTTGGAGAAGGTTCACCTAAGTACGTCACCTCTGTTTCTATTCTATCGAGAGTTTCATTGAATTTTTCAGGCGGGCAGTCAGGCGGTCGGTATACGATAGCTATGCACAGATGGAGATAGGGGATGTATAGTATAACATGTTCCACATGTCCATTGGAGCCTAAATGCAGGGGAACTGTTTTTGCCGCGAGGAAATTTCTGAGGTAGACTATAACGCCTCCTTTTCTTCTTCCTTCTTTTCGATCTGCTCGGTAATGTTGAAAGCCTTTCATCTCGATTTCTCCATCTTGGTTATCTTCTCTTAGGTGTGACTCGGTTTAGGCAAGCATGATTATACCTTCTGTCTCAGCAATTTATTTAAGTACGCCGATCTTGTGGCGTTTTCTTCTTGGGAAGAGCCCCTCTATGTTAGCTATCATGATGCTAGACTCTTCCCTTCCTTGCGTACTTAGTTGCTGTAACACTGCACTGCCAGGGGTCTCTGGCTCTGCAGCTGTTGCATTGTTGCTGTGATTTCTGCTGTTGTTCGTGCAGTTTCAACAGTTGTTGCATTTGTTGCTGAATCTGATCTACTTGACTCTGCAGGTCTAAAAAATTGCTGCGCCTGATATCGAGTTCTCTGTGTGGTTCTCCACTCCGGTAGGATGTGGTGTCCGGTGTGGTATTTTTTGGGACTGCCCTGTTGTATTTCTGATTACGCTAGATTCGCCTTTCCCAGAAAGGAGTTTTTTTAACAGATGCATTTTTTTCTGAAATTTCGAGTTTAGCAGTAGAGTCTATCTGGTGTTCAGGGGATGAAGTATCAAAAACCCGTCTCCCTTTGGTATCTCTTCCCGCCTGCGGGCTGAGTCTAAGTTGATGAAAGCGACAGTTATCTCTGACGTGCAAATTTATAACAATGTTCGAGTTTATTTGAGCGTCTTCGTCTCGCACCTGGTTTAGGATTATGAAAGGCCACAATAGACTTTATTTGCGCAGTAGCATCATAACTCTAGGTTAATTCGAGTGAAACGAGTTGCCTTGTCTTGGAGGAAAGAAGTGATGTCGACCAATCAAGCGTATTAGACCAACAGATGCTGGATCACTAACTATCTCTCTGAAGGTTTGTGTGAAGTTTACCTATAATTTTAATGGACATCGCTCAATGATAGTTACTTGAAGACTTTAAACCTTTCACAAGATGGCAAGTGCAACGATAGAGTGCGACGTTTGCAACGAGAAATTCGATTCGGGCAACCACAAGCCGCTTGGCCTGACCTGCGGCCACACGTTTTGCTTCTCTTGCATCACAAATTTACTAAGACTCCCTGGAACCCACAATTGCCCAGAATGTAGAGAGCAATTTTCCCAACGAATTGATGAAATGATGGTCAACTACAAATTGATTCCTTCAGAAAACACAGCTCGTCCACATCCCCCGAGCTCGCTGTCAGATGCACCGTGCCTCCATCAAAGGAAGGCGCTGGATTACCTCTGCGTGGACTGCATGGAACTCGTGTGCTTCAGGTGCATCAGGGGCACTCATAAAAATCACACAATTGAGTTGTTAGACGACCTACTTCAAGAGGATGAATATGTTTTGAACTCGTTGACGAAAATACGGACAACAATGCACGATAAGCTCGGGCGCGTGAATGACTTAGTCGCTGTGTCGGACGATATATTGAGTTTGATTGATGAAATCATCAACCTGAAGACTGAATTTCAAGCTTGGAAGGATTTGCTGCTGGCCCAAAAAGTTTCGACAGAGCAAGACCTCCAGGCGTGGGATGCCCCGACTACCGGTATGATCGAGAACAGGCAACATGAATACAAAGAAATGCTTTGCCGTCTAAAATTGAAACCTCCAGAAAATATGGAGATACCAGAGATCAAAGCGAGGTTGTCTGCAGCTTTGAAGAAATGTGATTCGTTACAGGTGAATGGAATGACATATTTGAGGCTTATATGCAGTTCGAATACAGAGCAGGAGTCTGCGCTGATTTGAGTTACGTAACAGGTTATAGTAGCAGGTTTAGAGCAGAATCGGACATGCTTGTCCCATAACAGCAGGTTCGAAACTCTTTGGGCTAAGTTGAAATGTATTGCCAAAAATAATCAATCTCACATGGTAATCAAAATATGAATGCTGTAAACGTGGAGAATTCTGGTATTGCTAATGTGTTGCGCACGTTTAATTGAGCATTTTTACGTTAAATATATCTCATGTTGCAGACGTGTTAATAGATTCTAAATTTTAGATTCAAGAGCCTGCTGTCACTGCGACGGCGCGACAGGGCGCCGGCGCTGGCGCGGCCGTGCTGCGAGTGCAAAACTACCTTCAGGCGACGCCACCGCAGGGCGCAACTATGGGAGCGACTCCTCGAACATTCCAGGCTCCTGGGCCGGTGAGTCATCGCTCAGAGAATGAGGGTCCGTGTACAAATAACGTAGAACATATCACTCCTGAGTGGGTCTTCCTGACCCAGTTTTGCCCAGCAACTAGCCTGAAGCCGTGCTACAACAACCCATTCATACTCAGAGTTTATGCCCCCACTGTCATTGTGCGCTACTCAGCGAATACATTGTGATATAAAAGTGTCCTGGATGGCCATATATGGCGATACAAATTCCCTCCCTGTGAGTCTCAACACTAATTGTCTACTACGATCGATTCGTATTTTTTCCATGGTGCTGGTTTGATACTGGAAATAATTTTGTGTTGGTTTGATTCCGAAAAAAACTTATATTAAACTGATTCGTGCAATGTAATTTTATTTTAATTTTTGCGAGAAAGACGGATATATCTAATGGTTTTCCAAAGAGGGAATAAACGCAAAATTCAGATTGAGATTATTTAACATTCGCGAAGAAGCTCGAACTATTACTCCGTATCTAAATTGAGATAATATAGAAGGCTGAAGGCCATAGCAGGCGATACAAAAAAAAGTTTATAAAGCTTCCTTTGAAACAAAGAAAAAATGACGTTAATCTGCCGCATAAACGCTTTTTATATTAATTCACCTTTTGTACTCTCGCAAACCAACTAATGTTACTGAACAACCAATATTACATATAGAATTACTATTCACCTTAATTAATTACAATATGAAAGGTTTCCGTGTAATTTCCAGGCATGTGTGCTTGCAACATGTGAGGACGGCGTGCCTTGGATAGTCACCTGCTGGAATGAAGGAGTGCGAGCTGTCGCCAGCCTGGCCAACAACATCAAGCCCAGTCGCCTCGTGGTGCTGTCCACCCACACCCGCCCCATCCCGGGGCTGGGGGAGCTGCTGTCCACCCACACCCGCCCCATCCCGGGGCTGGGGGAGCTGCTGTCCACCCACACCCGCCCCATCCCGGGGCTGGGGGAGCTGCTGTCCTGCCTCGCTGCCCTACACACAGGCAAAATCAGCCTGCTGCCACTGGACTTCTTCTGGAGGCCGGCAGGAGAGGCGGAGGGAGGCATGGAAGACTTCATCGACAAATTTAGGTACATTGGTCAATAGTTTGACAATTCAGAAAAATATGAACGGGTGAAAATAAGGATATAATATCCACCACTTATAAACTTTGACTTGCATTATATGAGATCGATGCAAGGAAGCTGGGGTGGGGAACATTTTCTCACGAATAAATTCGATAAATGATCATGAATTCAGCAAAAGAAAAAAAAGGAAACAACAAATTATAATTATAAAACACAAAAAAACTGAAACGAATGTAAATACATGTAGAGTACGTATTATATATTTAAATATATATTTCTTCTCAATAGTACTTAAATTTATATAAACATAGAACCATCATCCTCCCATCACCCTCTCCCCAGGTTAACTATCAAAGCCCTGACGAGTTCCCTCTCCCCAACCCTAACCAAACCCCAGCCACCAATAACCAACCCAATCATGAGTCATGCGCCTGCCTCATCTCCTACTGTCCTGTCTCATCTCCTACTGCCCTGTCTCATTTCCTACTGTCCTGTCTCATCTCCTACTGTCCTGTCTCATCTCCTACTGTCCTGTCTCATCTCC